GACTATTCGATAAAAAAACATACCAACCGAAGACGGCTCGCCTTAGGAGTCAAACGAACGGGCTAACTTCAGGTGGCGGCTTCGTCTGAATAATTCTATGCGATCGGTATAACTTTGCGAAAATTCATATAGTAGTCGAGTCTTGAAGTTTTCAAGGCAACCGCCCGATTTCCACGAAGTCTTTAGAAATTAAATTCAGTTCTGGCAGTCTCTTTGGATCTTATCAGATTAAACGTTTAAGGTAATCAGAAAATATGTTTCGTAAGAGAATCGTGACTTTAAATACATTCGAGGTAGATATTCCACACGCAGTCAGTTCAATATCAGGAATATTGTCTATTTATTCCAATGGATGGTCCCTGTTATCGCAGACTAGGTTGTTCACGAAGTTTTCGAGATATCAAAACATCCAGCTCTACATTTTTCAATTTCTCTATCGAATTCAGCTGTCGCCATTAAAAACTTTCGCGTGGGTGGTTCACGTTATCGCAAAGGTTACTCATTGAGATTCAAAGCTCTTTCTCAGTACAGTGTGTTGGGAATATTTGCACGTTCACAGATTCGTCATTAATTTCATTACTGTCAAGTTTTATGGATAAAAAACTAAACTTCATTCTTATTCTTACTGATTGGTCGCGTCTCTTAACTATGCTGCCTACGTGCAGATTGACAATTTTATTTGACCGATAAATATACAGAAACGCGTTTACTTTAATCTAAGTCCCTTTTTTTTAAGACGATCAACAGACTCTATAGCCAATGGTAAAGTGATCACATTATTAATTCTCTAGCGACTTATACGCCATGCTCATGTAATCCGTTCTGTTAACTTACCTAACCCGATTGAAACGGGTATTGTTTACAGCTCGCGTAACTCCTCCAACCTGAGGGCTTCTATAGAGATTGCCTTCTTAGTCACTGGAAGTATAATAATTAATCAATGCGATGAGAAATTGTTAATGACCCCTGTACCTCTCTCTACTATTGTCTATTATAATTGGTAGGTATTAGGTACGGCGCGGAGGTAGAGTTATTGACATTGATTGCTATAGTTTCTACGCCTTTGTGTTAGCACAGATCAATCATCTTCCTCGGCCGATCAAAATGAAACGATATCGTTCCACGAGGTGCCGATAGTTGTGACGTAGCCTTTAAAAATGAATTAATTCCCGAACACCCTGAGCATCGTAGGAAATCAATTTTTATATTCTGCTTTGTATATCTCTAGTACGACTTCTGACCCACGGGAATTGTTTACCAATGCCAAACCACGTCCTGCTGTATCCTAGGAATCTGGGAGTTGGAGCTACAGCCAGAGGGCTTGGCTTTATTTTGCATTTAAGCAAGAGATATACGTTTAGCCGTGCTTGTTAAGACGCCGCAACCGTTTCAGACCAGAAATAGTGCATTTGGTACATGAACTGTAGTAGAGATGCTGCGATATGGTGCGTTAGTGAAGGTATTGCTTGTGTCACTTAAGATAATCAGACGCAGCTTTGGATCTTGTTTAAATACAGATTTAAGGACAATGACGAACACTTTATTGGAGATTGATAACGTCGAGTCGTGATAAGGACTATTTCTCGGCTGATAACGGGGGGATCTCATCTTATTACTGAAACGAGGAATGTTTTCAATTTTCTGACGGTTATTTGGAGCTCAATGTAAATTGCTTCGACATTCTGCTGACACAAGAACTTCATTATCGCTAGGAACTTCGACCCTGACTTTTCCATCTCAGGCTGCTTTCGCTTTTTTTTTCTTTTCTTTTCCTCTTTCTCAATGCCAGCGACAAGTTTTCACACTGATTTATCAATCGACGACATCGCATTCACGTTTCACTCTTTTCTTTTCAGATTACACTTTACGGAGAAGACGTCCTATGACTCTACGTATCGGACCGAGATTAAGTCTACCTAATAGGAGTACCTCGGCACCGGCGACCACTACTGATACGGAGTGGCCTGCTTTGAGGTGAGCTTGTACTATCTTCTTATCGATCTGTCGATGGCAATGGAATTTCGCGAACGATGAAATTCGTAAATTTAAACATATTAATCTGTATACAAAATGTATTGGGTCACGTTACGTTTACGTGTGGGGAATTTCGAAAATCTATGATATTTCTTGTGTTACTGATATCGTACGTAAATCAAGTGGAAAAGTATCGTCGGTTTGTATGAATAAATCCGCTTAAGGCTCGAGGATACGTTTCATTTCTTAGATCGTGACATTCGTATCACGGGATTTTATCTTTGAACGTTTGTTCGAGCGAATGCGAGGATGCTGTATCGAAGATCAGATTGACTGAAAACAATTTTTATTATTTATAACGAATAGGGAAATTGACACGGCGGGGGAGGAAAAAAGGGATTCAAAGTGATTAAGAATGGATTGCTACCTTTTTGGGTAAATTTTGTTCCTTGATCATTTTATGATATTCTTTGATCATTTCGTGTATGGATCTTCTGGTACAGAATTGGAGTGAGAAATTGTTTCACTTGTGGGAAATTAATTTTTTTTTTTTTTTTTTTTTTTTTTTTTTTTTTTTTTTTTTTTTTTTTTTTTTTTTTTTTTTTTTTTTTTTTTTTTTTCTTAATCTCTACCACCTTTCTCCACGTGTCTTTCATGGAGATAATTATGTATAGATATTTATATTATTTTTCTTCTTTAGATCCACCCCAAGCTTTACGAATTATCCCTCTGAGGATTGGGTGATGCTATTTTCCGCTATTTTCCAGGTGGGTCAGGGATGATGGTAATTATACGTGGGAATATTGAGATGATTGGTTTGTACGGTATGCCAAAGGAAAAGTTTTCTTTTGGCTAACCTTAGGAAATGGGTCAGAACCCATGTAGCACGTTATGTTCTGGCTGGTTTCACAAAAAGCCGAAAAGTCTTCCCTTTTCGATTGAATGCGATGGAGGGCGTGCCTTTACTTTTTTTTCTGTTTCTCTTCCTGCCTCGCAATCTTTTTATATTGTTGTTTTGAGGTTGGCTGGGGTTAATGAAAATTCTTGCTCTACTGCCAAACAAATGATTTGCCATGGTTATCTTTGAACTGTAAGTTTATTCTTGTAAATGTAAAATTACTCTGAGGAAATACCTCAAATTTGTAATTATGTATTTTTACACACGGCCGCGTGGATTTGCGTTACTTAATTGCACGGGGATAATAATTTCGCGTAATATCAAGTTCTTAATGTCTGACGAAGGAACTCGATGGATTCTTGTGAAATTTCTATTCTTTGTTGCGCCACGATAAATACTGAAATTGCTGAAGAATTGTCATGTGCTTTTGTGTCATCTGACTGAAAAATTGACAACGTTAAGGATGGGGGGAAAAAGTCTATTGTGATTCATGGAAATCAATTTCACGTGATTATGGGAAATTCGTGTTATTAAAGAGAAAAAAATCTCTTTTAAATGCTGTAATTGTAACGAATGTTCGAGGATTTGATTAAATTTCGTCGAAAGGGGATGAGAATTGAATAAACTTGGAATGGCGGTTTAAATGACAATTCGAGTGTTAATTCGAGCGCGAAACTCGTGTAATGTTCCCTGAATGTCCAAAAGAATGTCCCTCTTTAAAGAAATCAATTATGAATGTATTCGAAAAATTCAGTTCAAACTGTTGTACACGTCATACAACACATAGTTTTCATTTTTGACACCGAACACGTACTTTTGCCTTTTTAATTTTCAGGCAAAAACCGATAAAACGGAACACGGCTTAAACGCATTTCTATGAAAATTAGGGTAGTCACGTAGCAGAGTCAAAGCAAAGGAGAGTGTGTTAATAGGCACTGCTCTGTATAAGGTTGCATAACGGTTGTTAATTTAGCAAAGTATATACAAATGTTTACATCTTCCATTAGGGTAGTGTCTATCTAAATTGGCTATTTCGGATCAGCTTCTAATTTGCATTAAAAAATTTCAAATGCCTTCCAAGCCGACTGCGTCATAAGTAGATGTATTTTTTTCTTCACTGTTGCTATGGGGATGATTAAAGAGGATTGGTAAAAAATCGGACGATGCAGTGTGCTTGGGAGGAATTTGAAATTTTTCAATCCGAATTAGGAGCTGATCCGAATCAGACACTTTGACCCTATACACTTTTTTATTCAACAGGATTATTCACGACAAACGCACCAGCTGACCACAAATGAGTGATTTTATTATCAGAATAGTGTGACATCATTAAAGAAGTGAAATTTAAAGTCATAGCATTATTAACATCATGAGCGTCAGAATCTTTAATTTGTTTAATAAGGTCACAATGCCTTGACTAATGGAATCCTTCGATTGCGTCTAAGTTCAGTTGGTGCATTTCTAGTGTATAACCCTGTATTTGGATGGTGAAAATATTTACAGTTGACAGTAGTAACGAAAGATACTAGTCAGACATGATCACCAGCTACACATCTTACGGTGCTTAATATCATAGTTAATGATTCGAAGGGGTTTAAAATTAATATTTCCTCCTCTAATATGTACATACTCTTTGAAAATGCACAAAATGATCGGTAAAATCGCAAAGAAAATACCAAGAACATTCTTTTACCGACTTCAGAAGCAGCTCAGTCAATATTGTGTATTTCAGTTATCGACACACGCGCTAAAGTTACCGGTAAAGTATATCGGACTGAAGAGATAAATAGACTGGAAATCTTATGGGATAAGGTGAGAGGCGAGGATATTTTAAACATATCAGAATCGCGAGGAACAGAAACCACGGGCAGATCTGATCTATTTATATTCGGTCGAAGATATTAATCACGTAAGCGTAGGTTTCTGTAGGACCTTTGTGGCAATATTTAGCCCTTGTTCTGTGTATTGGCGGAAGATAAATGGATTGGCCATTCCCGTGTATTTCATACCTGCCAGCCGACATGTCATCAAGAGTGTTGCAGTCTGATAGTTGACTAGTTGAAGTTATGACTAACACAATACAATTTTCAATATCTGCAAGTGTAATAAATTAACAGTTTATGTTTTGAATGCGTAATTTCATCATTCATTGTTGTGTTTCTGCTAATAGTCGGCACCATCTTTCGGTGCACTTGAAGGATTGAAATTTCAGTCGATAACTCGATCTACGGGTAAGGTGCCTAGTCTATTTATCTTCAGTCAAATTATGTACCCTGTAAGGTAAACTAGGTAACTAAACACACTAAAATCTACCCTTAACAGCTGGTTCATATCATTTTTTTTAAATTCAATGACGCAGTTAAACAACCCTCCAACAGATGGCGTTGTACTTGATAGAGGCAGCCACCTCGTGGCTCGAGCATAGGTACTACATTGTTGTGGGCAGTAACGGCATAACATTTTGTCGCTAGGTGCGCGTGATTGCAACTCGATCGGCCTCCGAGACGTCCGGCGTGTTGTCTTCAAACCAGTCGCACGTGTTTTGCCGTTCAATAAAAACTTGTAACGATGTGATGAGTCTCTAAAAAATGTGTTGATCTTTCCTTCGAGAATTCGTAATTTAACGATCCTTTTTTGAGCTTGCGGAATCTGTTGAATTTCCTGAGTTTGGCTCGGAGCTTCCGTACGTGCTCGGTGATAAAATACGAATGTCAAATATCCATTTCTTCCCTGCAATGTTTGAGAGAGAGACGTTAAAAGCAAAGATTTATTAACAAATCGATACGCTTGTTAAGTGTTACGCCAGTGTTATTTACGTCGTAGGATTGAAATTGATTTTTTCTAAAAATCAAGTTTAAATTATCTTATTGTTCATTAAAGAAAACTACTGAATTTCACATGGTGAACCGTAAGAGTAACACTTGGAAAGTGTCTTTGACGTGTGACGTACAGAATCGACTCTGTGTAAATTAGGAATAAAATTCAGTCGGACGTACTTGAATCAGCGTCGAAAGTACGAACACAGTGATACGTTTGAAAATGAGATAGTCAGGTATCAGAAATCACAGTGTCCCCATGTGTACACACACGAGAAAGTATCTCGAGGGAATTTGTGAAAAGTGTGTTTAATGAAAATCTGTAAATCCAAAGTCTTTGATAATCTTTTGTCTGAACGTATACGTCTCTCATTATGAATTTTAGAGGTAAACAGTGCTATGTATTTTTCGAATCCATCATCGTTGAACCAGCTTGATTAAAAGTTGATATTAATTTACGCTCTTAAGAGCCGTGTTTATTAAAGCCAGTTCGACGGTTCGCGTCGACGCCGCAATTAATAGCCTTCGTAGCCGTGAGAAACGCGTAGCATTAACCCCCTTCGCCCCTTCTACCTTGCAGCAGCATTATTTTCCCAGTATAAAACAGTACCCGAGGGGAGCTTAAACATTTTACTAAAATTGCATATGACATCCAGCATCGGGTCTCTTACGTTGCCTCTCATATCCTGTTTATCCTCGTACGGCGTCTCAACATCAACACTCTTCAGGCTTCCATTGGGAGTAGTCAACCGGTAATATTAAAGCCGATAAAAGTAGAGCAGATCGAAGTAAAGTCAACGCGTAACTAGACAACCCAGTTTCTGTTATCCGTGTTTTACCCAAGCCCGATAGTAACGGTACACGAACGCACGGACAGACACAACACAGAAGATTCACCAACAAGCTAAGCCGACAAAGACGTTACTCTGGAATCGGATTGGGGAATCACGGCGATTAGGTGATGCTTTTAATAACTGAACCGTGTGTACACACCTTAAGCTGGGATTGATTAACGGGTGAATGTGAAAGCTTTGCAAGAGGACTACTTTTCATTGATCCTTCCTAAAAGCAAACCCAGTCATCGAATCGGAGCGACAGATTGGAAAGCACACGGAAAACTTTCCTATAAAGTATATATATAGATATATATATATGCATAAATATTTAATGCTGTGTTGTGCGCTTCCGGTTTAACGCGAAGTTCAATCGATTCTCGAATAAAGCTGTCGAAGGAAATGCCGAGGGCGGTTGAACACTGACGTCGTTGTATGCAAAACTTTTGTCAACCGTTCGAACAGACGAGAAATTTGTCTGGCGCTTTATCCCTGGACAATGGGTACACACGCTTGTGTAAAGATTTACAACTCGTAAAAGAACGTGCAAACACGTGCCGTGTGTGGCTTCCACTCTTGGAAGGAAAAAGAAGACCTAGGAAGGAAGCTAACTGCGTAAGGATATTCCGTGCGTGTTTTCACAATAGTGTTTGGACATCGGATAATAAGGAGTGTGGTGTTACTGGAGTGTAGAGTGCAGTGTATAGTGGATGTTTGATCGGGGTGGTGGGAGTGATGATCCTTGGAGGATAACGTAGGTAATCGACAAAGAAATCATGCCTTCCGATTTTTTGTTGTTGTTTCAATATGCTTCATATTTTTTTCTTCTATTCCTTATCGATTAGGTTATCACTGTAATTGGGAATTGGAGTTCTTTTACTTCTGGAAACATCAATATGGAAATTTTTTATCGTTGAAACAGAACGAGGACACTGGATGCCATCATATCTCGTTCAAGCTAACTCCGCTGGGAAATAAAATTCAAAAAAAGGCCTACATCATAACTCAGGGCTAATTTTAAGTTAGTTTAATGCTCTTCGTTAAAAAAAGGAAAACGTGCGCTGGTTACTACTTCATATCGAACTAGCGCAGCCACAGGCATTTTCTTTTTTCTTCTGAAGAGCATCCAATTTTTACAATAGAACATTAGGACAGTCTGAAATAAGTGTTTGATGACGATTTACGCATTTTTAAAAGATTTTTTTACGGTGTCACTAGCTTGAATATGGTGATTACCTTCATCGATAGACTGGCTCTATGGAATCTGACGATGATCTATGGGATCTGATAATTTATATGGAAAAGAGTGACCTAGATTTCTTTAAAGAAACTCGTATCGTTGGATGTTCATTTATTCGTTCGAGACAGCTCATACTTCTGGGATTATCATAGTACCGCTGCTGTATTCATTCCCGTATGTTGTTCTCCTTTATCATCAGTTTCCTCTTTTATTTTTTCGCTTACGAGAACACGGAAATACCTAGTGTAACTTACAATTTGCAAGGTATAAATTACAAACTGTGTATTACTGCAGCATGTTAATTGAAGCAGTACACGATAAAGTAATATCCAGCAATATCGAAGGATTAATGTGCGGATGTTTACATCAGACTATAATTTACTATTTCCGGTATAACATTTATTCTTAACGTGCCAAGTCATATGGTATTTGAAGTTATAGTACGGACACGTTCATAAGCATGCATGAGATAGTGCGTAGTGGGCGTTTAGTAGTGAATGGAGAATCATTTCTTATGAGAAGCATACATTTTCTTACTTGTTGACTACTTTTATTTTACGTCATCAAGACACGTTTGTATATTCTTTTTTTTTTTAGCAACCCGAATTATTCTCCGGACGCTGGATGTATTATTCATAACTGTTCCAACAGTTTATGGGGGAGACAATATTTTTTGTATGCTGGTACTAGAAGGACTTGCTGCACACGCGCTGGATCAGAATCTCGTGAACGATTGAAAAATGATTTTTCGTATACTTGTATTACTAAAGTAATCAGATTTATACGTGCGTTTAGTGCGCGATAAAGGACAGCAATGGTACGGCACTCTGAACGAATATAGTATCACTGCATATCTACTTTTTTTTTTTTAGATTTGACTTGAATCCTGGAATAGGACAATCTCAAACTCGATTTGATTCTTCAAGCTGAGTACGTGGTCGCATGGGACACGTTCACCCGTTCTGGACCGGAATCTCTACGTGTTTACCATGCTCAAGGCAATTGCGAAAAGGCGTTTAGAAAATTGCCCTCCGTATACGTCGTATGCTCGAGGGTTAAATTGTTGCTGTTTGCGTTGACAGGCCTGTCAAACATGACGTTTACGTTTTACGCAACGTGGATATTCGTATAAGCGTACTATGTAGTTTAACGTTGGATCGCATGTTAGAGACACATTCATTGATCAGTCGGCAGACGTCGCCAACGCCAAGTCCCTTTAAGGATGACGAGAATTTATGATTCAATTGCCATTTATAAGAGTCCGTGGCGAATTCCGGAATTACTCAACCTCCCATGGTGGCTTGAATTCATAAGGGACTATACAAAGTACCTTCGTACATGCTTCAAAGGCTGGACATTATTATTGGGCTGCTGCTGAAGGGAACCGATAAAGGAAAATTTGATACGGGGATCGAATTAAACTATAAAGTTATTTATTGAGCACGAAAAAAGTAATGATGTATCGGGAATTCATATGGGATGATATATTTAACGATCAACCATTTCTTGGATTATTTACCAATTTATATCCGGTTGTGTGTACACAGGCAATATTTGTCTTACGGACGGGTTATCGTTTCGTCATGTATTCTAGACTGCGATAAATATTAACTTGGATTTTTGCCTGTTTAATCATACTGACTTTTATCGTTTGAATCGTGTATTACCGGTGATTCGATTGCGAAGGCTGGCAAACGCCACGTTTATTCGATGTCTTGAAATTTATTGAACGCGCTTTAAGGAAATCCACGCTGTCACTTTACATTCCCGTCCATCTAGTCTGTCTCTCGCTTTGGCATAATGGGTATAAAATTAAATGAGATAGCTGGCTTAATATCGTGATAATTATATCTCGGGCTAAGATCGATGCCTATAAGTCTGTCATTAATATTTATTAAGGTCGTTCCATCAATCCGTTATGAATTATAGATAAATCCAGTATGTTTTTTTATTATGTAATTATTATAATCGTCATGGTGTTTGACGTTACATTTTCGTAATAGAAAGTCGTGCGTTTTGTTTTTTGTTACCGAGTATTTTATTAACTGCGGTATCGCGATGCTAAAATACATTAATGGTATTTAGTACCTGTAATCAAACCGGGGTGTATGTATGTACACGTACTAAACCCGGTAAGTGCGTTTATCTCTAATGGCTATTTTACAGCAGCTAGTAGTAGAGTCCCGTGCTTGTCAGACGAGTCATTTAGTCACGGGAGGCTAGGAACGTTCAGTCGGAATAGGACAATGAATCTTTTATTGTAAATTTGAATTTCGCGCTTTATTCTATGAAAGTCTCAACGGTGTACATACATGTGGATATTGAGCGCAACGCTTTCATGTATTTTTTGTGCGACTCCAGACTTTCGAAGGAGGCAGAAAAATATCAGGCGTGGAGTTAAAATCTTTTGTCAAATTGAACGAGTATTTAATAGACTCACTGGTGGTTCGTAATTTTTGTCAATTTCAAATAAAGGAGGGAGGTGTAAACTGTGCAAAATATTTTAAGTGGTTTGCCGAATTTAGACTCGGCTGGTCTGAGCGGGGGCCTTCAAATGTAATTGATATTGAAAGCGACAGTTTGTAAATTTACTTTGCTGCGTTAGATTAGCCAGTGCGAATTCTTCTTTAGCTTTGAATCGAACGTTCATGTGCTTTGGAACGTGCCGACAGTTGATTGGATTTGATAATCTTCGTCTGTCGAGAGCCTAGAGAGCTAATTAGGTTTATTTCGTTAATTCTAATCGTGAATTCAATAGGAAATCATGAATTTCATTCTGAGGTTGATGTCTGAATATTGGAAAACTAGGTGTTCACGGACCACACCGAAATTTGTATAAGTTTTGAAATCAAGCGAAAGCAGTGCGAAAAGTACTATTCGAAGTATGGGGTACGTAGAAGAATGTGTAAATAAGTTTTATTTAATGACATTTTCATTCGAAATCTTGAGGCAGGAACGTTATTCGCCATTTGCATGGTAAAAGAATGAACTTTGATGTTGCCAATGTAACCAATTCAAGAAAAGTCTTTTTAACACCCTGAAATCTGGTGCACACATGAATATATGAAAATTCACCTTATCGTTACTACGGTCAAATATTTTATCTCAGTCTTCAATATTTAAATTTAACGTTCACGCGAGTCTTCGAGAGAATACACTTTTCCTCGTTGTATTTAGGTTGGCGTTCCTGCAACAGTTATGGTGTTTCTGTCATACTTATTTCTAGTCGGCGACTTTTTTGGGCTACTTTCGACCATTCTCTCTGACGATAATGAATAGGCTGTCAAATATTCATACATGCTGCGTGCATCGCGAATAAATTATTTATTCACTTGATATTATACAATGCTAGTATACTTCCTTACCGACCGAGCCTATATCAGTGAGGCCTAAGTTAGATTTCATTATACATTAAAATGTATGATGTCAATTTTATATAGCGTTTCCCTCAAATTAATGCTATCTTTTGAATGCATTGTACATATTGTCGACTCGCACGGTTTCCCATTTAAGGTCGATACACGAAGCACCGCATGGAGGAGGTCGTTAAAGCTTCGGTTTTATGCTAGTAAAGCACGCTAGATATACCTGGTAACGCAGTAATATTCGAGATTTTACAAAAACAGGTTGTAAAAATCACGAGTAAAAAGCTTTCTAAAGATTGTGAAAACTTTCAGTACTAATTACTTTTGAACAGGATTTGAACTCACTCTCCGAAAGTTTATTGTCCGACGTTTATACTTATCGTATTTATTTTCGTTCGGTCAGGCTAAGATTTTCTGAAAAATAAAGGAATTTTCAACTTGCGACGGTTTCCTACTTCGGAGACATCTGATTGGTAAAGAAGAAACACGTGGAGTCTTCGTTAACTTAAATTTAATATAAATCAGAGGAAATTGCGACGACTAGCGTGATGAACTTACCGGAAGTGAACCTGCTGATAAAATAGTCTCCTTCGAGCGACTTCCGGACGTTCTCGTCGCGTTGACAACAATAACTGCGTGTATTCAGATCGGTTATTGGAAATATTCCACAGCGTGATTTTCTTTTTTGCACGTAGAAAACTTTTTTCTGCAAGTTCACAAATTTGATCAAGGTATTGATTTTTGGTTATCACTTTTTTTTTCTTCTGAGAGTTGCAATATTCTGAACTAATACCTATTACATCCGAAACTTTCGTAGCTCTATGTGCAATCTCAAAATATTTTTCTTTTTGTATTTTTCAAAACTTTTCTGAAGCATTAACGAATTTATAACGCACTTATAAGCTGTACATCGAAGCACACAAGCCCCAGCTTAGATGCATTAGGAAACTGGTGCAAGAGCATCATCATGAGAAGATTGATGAAAATGGTTAAAGCTTCGTGTGCAGGTATAAGCAGCAACCAATTACCTTGCTCTTTACTTTATAACATCAGGGATCAGGTGGCGTCCGTATTAATTTGAAGAGAGCACTGAGCTTTTATCGCACGTTTCGTTGCCATCCGGAATTATACCTAGGTACAGTCTCAACACAATTTACCTACCCTTGGTCAATTTTACTTCTTAGAATAATTTCTCATCCATTTATTCTTTCAGATACGTAACATGATAAAAGCACCGATTCTTCCTCAGACTTTGATATTCCAACGATATCCAACTTTAGCCAAAGCAGAGGAGAAACTTTCCAATTCAACGTCCTCCTTCGTGAGAGAGCACAGCATCCTTCAAGTCGTGACGCTGAAGTCTTGTCCTTGGATACTGATCTAATTATAGCATCAGGTGGTTCAAAACCTAGTTGGCCATCATCCAATCGCCGTAGAGTCACTCTAGGATCGACCAGCTTCTCTATGCGCGTTGCACAAGACTCCCCAGAGGGTCAATGCACACAGTTAGTTCACATGGTCACACTTTGACCTGGTCACGGCAGATATACAGAAAGCGTGGATAGATTGCATATTGTGTAAACAATTGTAAACTGCGATCAAAGACTATGCGGTCTGCGTGCTTCTCGTGGCTTAGGAAGAATCGATTATCGACACTTAACTATCATCACGTCCAGTGCGTGTCATGGAGGTCGTGCGAAGTTTTTGATTGATATACCTGAAGCTACGTTGCTTTCAATAATTTATGATAATCCCTGTTAATTTCTGGCTGTCGTGGACGCTTGTATTATCCGATGCAAAGCTTTAAATACCATAGAGCAAAAGATTACCGGATGAACACACAGGGGACCTGTTGAGGCAGAATATTAAAACTTTTGATCCCTTTGGATATCGTCCAGACCATATTACACGTTTGAGTATTCCATGATTATCCAGATGTCAGCTATCTGCCTTCTGTTGGAACGAGAGACTTTGGTCTTTTTTTGATGTACAGTATTTTTCATCATCGCTATGAAGTTATAAAATTGGTATGACAATAATGGACAATATACGATATCACATATAATATAATTAACGAGCTTAGATACATTTATTAATTATGTTTTTAGAGTCTTCCTTTGTTTCCCATTTAGATGAATTTATGGATACGACTGAATACGCCGGATTTCAAAGAGATATCTCCCTAGACGTTTCACATCCTACTGCAAAAGCTTATTCAAATAATTCATGATGATGGTAGGAAAGGGTGAGGATTTTAAGCTTTAATACTTCTTTTTTGTTTCATTTTACGTGAGAGTTCATTTAATCTCTGTTCCCAGGTTGGATTTAATTTTCGGAATTACCACGCACTTTTCTCTGCTTCCACATTTCTTTCTGTATCCTGCTACTTTAAAGAGAAAGCCTGAAAGTCATTATCATATTGACAAGCACCTATGGGTCGGCGTATTCTTGGGCTCATATCCATTTCGGTTGCCACGGGTTTCATGAGAATGCTAAAGAGACGGTAGAAGTAGGAGCATCGAAACAAGATGACTGTACTGAATTACCGCGTATTGTGGAAACTAAGGTGTGCCACTAGTTTTCAAGCACGTAATCCGAATTCTTTTTACAAAAAAATATATGCGAGTTCTTGAATGCAGCTATCTCATCATGGAAGGATTCTCTCACGATATCTTTAAGACGCTGGAACACAATCTTGCAAGGAGATAAATTTCTATTTAATGTCTCAGAAACATTCGTTATTCCTTCATCCGTCCTTTTTCTCAGTCGAGCTTACTAATGAGTGCATATTTTTTAAATTAGTTACTCCCTTGGTATTACTACCATCATGGAGCTTTGTGCTAATTGTGCTTTCAAATAAATTGAAATGTAAATACACTCGTTCTTCCCTTGATTTCGTGTTTTGAGACAATGAATCGATTTTTTTTTTTTTTTTTTTTCTTTTGAACACAATTTAATTTAGTCAATGCAATTACTGACAATTTTCTGAGCACGTGCGTATGGTCTTGATATTTACGTTTACTGTTGTCTGTGATAGGATCATCGATTGCTCAGGTTGCAACAGGATACAAAGTTAACCTAACCTTAAATAGCTTGGATAATGTGATGGAGTTTTTAAAAATGATGCATGTGGGCCAAGTCCGAAGGGTATCTAAGTGGGACTTCGGTGATGGTTTGTGGAATAGGATCAGCCCAGGTAATCCATCGTAATCGAGCTTGTGATATATTGGCTAGGCATTATATACCAGTTCGATAGGTCAAATAACCTGTTAAATTATTTGCTATCAGAATCCTTTTGAAAGGAGTTCACGGAAATGATGATTGACGTTTAGAGACATCTGAGAGAACCTTGATAATTAGGATGGATTAAACAAAAATTTTTTTTGATTGTTTAGTACTAATTGAATTAACGCCTACGCGTCAAAAGTCATCTTTATGAACTTTTCTGTAAGAGATTTTTTTTATGTGAGCTTCTTGGCACAGAAGCTGGTTTTTACGTATGTATCCCTTTTCTAGGATTTCATCGATCGTCCATCGAGTTCGACTTTGGTTGAAAAAGTTTTTACATAAGCCCAAAAGTCTTTGGGCGTTAACAAACCACATAATCTGTTTGGTATTTGTTTGTTGAGCTACGGCAATGTGTTTCAAGTTTTTCTTATAATCCGAAATGAGTGCTTCTGTAGGCGACTGAACTTATGTCAAAGAAATTGGTGAAAGAGTCTAAGAACGTCTGAGATTCCCGAGATTTGCTTCAAAAAATACTCTGATCTTCATCCATTTGGAGTTATGGTTGCGTGAGAGAGCCAAAGAATCCTATCATCATCCGATCCTGGGAGCGATTGCTACTGGCACAAGGTTACTTCTTGCAAAGGAGACAGGATGAGCTTACGCAGGGTTGCTACCAGGCTTCATATTTCTTTTATGTTCCATTTGGTAAAAAGATATCAGTTTTCTTCTTCAAGAGCCTTGCGGTCCATACCAGATGTTCACAGATTGACCATTATAATTAGATGAATCAGAGATTAACTCGGCAAACCATTTGAAGAACAAGATCTGTTACGATATGATCTGCGAGCCCAGGGAAAAGTTCGTATTCAGTGAAATTTTGTTGATTTCGATAAAACTTATTCTTGAGATTGAATAAAAGATTTGAAGTTCTTATTTCAGAACGTAAATCAACATTGACGCCTTACGTTACACCACGTTACCATGGCGACAAACCGACCCAATTTTCAACGTACGTTATCACGTTAAAGGAGAAGTTTAGAACGTTAAAGATCAACGTTGAAGAAGTTTTGAATAATTTATTTTCTGAAATTTTTAACTACCCTCGTCTGAGCTGTTATCTGCATATGTCTTCTCTTCCGAGCATATGGTAACTTCCATTTGCACATGATTGAACTTTACGCTTTTCTTTCATCCTTCGTTCGTTGAAACCAATAGAACGAAAGGACTTTCACTTATATAAATTGCGGCATGTAATAGCCCTGCTTTAGTTTGTTCATGGGATTCAGTTTGATAAGTTTTTACATCGGTACGGCCCCGCATCTATATTTTTTCTCGACGTAAAGTTTTTAGTGGACGTTTTTCCACGGCCTTGTATCATTTCTGTCGTCCCTTATTTACGACCTGGAAGTAGGCTATTTGATGATTCTCTCGAAATTACCTTTTACACCTTTATTTTTTCGCCTCAACATCACTGTTCTCCGTTCCCACCTGCTCACAACAGGTATCCGCATTACACTAAATTTCAACCCTTCAGAATAAAATATGACGTGCCTCAGACCTTAGATTTGTCTGGATCTTCGTTTCTGCTTTTACGATCTTCCTCTTTTCACTTATTTTTCCTGGCAATTTATCCAGAACAGTCGTTTAGTTTGATTCTCGACACTGACAACTGGCTGTCTCTAATCACCCAGGAGGTAAACTGCTATCAGGAGCAGAGTAAATTGCGACCATGATATGTAGTGTGTATTTGCAATGAATTATTGCAGCATCGTAACAATTAAATACCCGTACGCCAATGTGTCTAATATATTTGTGTGTTACACAGTTCTCCATTGGCGTCCAATTATTCGTCGAGGATTAGCTGGCGAGACGTAAATTGTCGGAAAACGTTCAGTCGAGTTGTGTCGAGTCTCGTTCGAGGAGACCGCAACGAAGGAACTTCCACTCATCGAAGCAGCAAATTTATTCTAAATGACGAGAGTGCGAGAGAAGAGGGTTGGAACTTGCGGAGAGAGCCTTGAACATTTTCCCAACGTGCCCGACACTCTGCACGGGCGGATGACATCTAAAAGTGAAATGACATTCAGTGTAAAGCTTAACTAGGCCGAGGCTTATCTGGAAAATCGAAATTATGAAAAAAGCATTTGTTATGGAGATCAGCTTGCGAAATTGCTACGTAACGAAGTCCACGAGAGACTCAGTTTTATTCAAGTACCAACTCTTGCGAACAGATCAGCTACGTTAACGACTCGACCGTGGAAACAGAAGATGAAAGCTCTCTTTGCCGCCGATTATAAATTTAATAATTCATTATTAATCATCTCCTGACTCGACGGCGCTTATCTATCGAGCAAGTTTTCATTATGAAATAAGGAAAAAAAAAAATCAAGTCCTACTTTGTTTTTAGAGTAATTCTTAAGATTATGTAATTTCGAATTTTTATTATTTTGCGTTATACGTAGGGATGATACTTTCTGAATACAGTGAAGCTCTGATTATCCCTCTGGGTACTTTCTCAGAATTTAGAGCGCTGAACGAATTGTCAGGAGCACATGTGGTACAAGTATGCTGGTGACTGTAGGGAATCAGAGAAATACCGTTTTACCGAGCTCTAGCAAAAGCGTGCTATAACGGAACAGCTTCGAATGAGCAGGGTTACGTCAAATGGGATCAAGCGTATTTTTCTTTATAGTTTCGTTCGTTTGTTAGCCAATGTTAATTTTGTTAATAAGCCACCAATTCGATAAGCTATTTAAAAAAGGTATACCGAAGTTCTGAATCTCAGGCTATTACATGACCTTAGTAATTAAGCCAGTAAATTATCAAGGTAGAGGAATACCTTTAATTATCCAACGCTTGTAAATTGCATAAGCGCTATCAACTGATAAATGGAGATGACGTAATATCGAGGACATAGAATTACGACGTAGAAAGCTATAGGGTTAAAGTGCGAATGGCTCCTTAACATCATGCTTGATATTCTGGATAATATAATCCATGCAGCTTTAATGGTTGAGACGGTACGAGTCAAGGGATGAAGTTCGATGGGGAATAAATTAGATAGAACGAGGATCAGAAAGCACATACGAAGAAGAAGATAAGGGATGAAGAGGGATGATTGTTACATAGAACCAAAGATGAGGATAAAATTCGAATCAATATCGATTTGCACGTCGTAGCGATTTTTAAAGGAGCGTTATGCAGTAGAAAGCCTCACCCTGGCAGTTCAATTTAGAATAGTTTTTTTTTTTTATTTTAATGTCTGTCTGATTCTCGAAGCATTAGAATGTTCTGGGGGAAGCAGGTACGCGTTCCGATTGATCGGATTTTCATTCTTATCAAATCATTCTCAAACCTGGTGTTAAAATCTGCAAGTTCAGGAGGAACTTGATAATACAAGGTTTTTGATAGCTCCTTACCCGAGTTAAGCATATGGTGCCCAGCTGTCGCCCGATGACCTGGGTAACGGCCGTGGAGAATCTCCAAGTGTTACGTACCGATTTGTGAATAATTCTTTATCGGCTATAACGATCTCTACCAATCAGAATGATTAGTTTCCAAATTTGACTGTTATCAGTTGACTGCTTTAAAGCAGTCTGTCTTGGGACACCGTTCGGGGTGCCTCGCGCTCTCGCGCTATCTGTTGATAGTTTTTCTAGCTGTTTCCCACAAGGTGTAGAAGGTTCTCGTTTGTGTAGTTCTCGTGTTGCTCTCGCAATACCCAAAAATGGACAGAATCCGTTAAGCTATCGTCTCTTTCGATAGACTCCGTCAGCCTCTTGTTTTGGCGGTTCGAGACTGTTCCACCTCAACTCCCAGGTCATACCGGATCGTCAGTTCCCGGTGAAAAAAGAACCGGCTGGCGTCCGCCTGGCATGCGGATGTATGGACGAAGGTTACGTAGGGTCAGTCCTCGGATTTTCGGTATCTGTGTTGCGCTGAGAAAATACGTTACAGTATATATCCCTTCGGATAGTTAAGCTTCGCGCAGTCACGCGTCCCATTGGGCAATATCTTTCCGAGGATTTGTTGCTTTTATTTTTCTTTTCCACTTTGCGTCCGTACTATTTTTTTTTTTTCACGTGACCTAACGTCGTAGTAAACCCTTGAAGTACTCTTAGAGAGACTTTCCGTGTAAACGCCTTTGTAAAAGTCTGCCGTCGCTGGTGTCTCGTATTTTTTCTCCCTTGAGACAAAATTGAAATACCGAAGGTCATTGATATTAGTTGGCCTTAATTGAATTTATATCCTCGGTGACTCAACCACGCGCCCAACCACCCTAAAGTGATTCTCTTTGTAATATGGAGACTCGATATTTTAAGAATCACTCAAAGGTAATAGGATGGTTGATGGACGAGGAGGGAAACACTTGTTGGTAAAGTCTCTAAGTATATTAGTATTATGTAATATTCACTTTTTACTGGTTGGGATTTTTCGATTAATAATTCTCTCTGTTTTTTGAGGACAACGACTGAACGGTTACTTGTAAGATTTTATACAAAGTAATATAATCTGTCTTGAATGCTAAGATATTTCTCTCTCTCTCTCTCTCTCTCTCTCTCTCTCTCTCTCTCTCTCTCTCTCATCATATTTTTTTAGTTGCTATTCACTGGCAGCTATTTTAAATCCACATATATAATGCCGATCAT